CACGCTGGCACTTTGATTTCTTTCCAGTCCGGTACTTGGATCTCCTTCCAAGCTGGGACCTGAATTTCTTTCCAGAACGGCTTTTGGACGGTCTTCCAATCAGGCACCTAGTTAAAATTATAAGAAAATACGTTGTACAGAACAAATGATCAACGTCTCGGTTGCATATAGAACAAAAAATATTGTAGCAAGTTTCAACAAAGAAAAATGTTTTGAGGGATCAACTACGAAAATACAGGCTTCTAGAAGGCCACTGGATACAGGTTCTCTTAAATAACTCATCACCGAGGGTGTGTAATTGAACTAGATTCCGAAACCATGATTACTAGTTAAAATTTAACTTATTTAGTTCACCAGAAACAAAATAACAGTAATGTAATTTTGGTAATTGTTTCAGCACTATGTACAGGGTGGTCCATAAGTCCTTTGAAATTTCAAATTTGAATAAAATTTAACGGGTGAGCGTGAGCGGCGCGGGCGAGGTGGGGGCAGTATCTTCAGTGTCTGGGAATTCAGTCGCCATGGAGTGTTTCACTGGAGCGGATCGTGCTTTTTGTGTGCGCGCGTGTTATCAAAATAATGATTCGGCAACCATTGCGCGGCGTAAATATCGAAAATACCACAATTTACACAATTTTACAAAGTGTCCAACAGCTCAAACGATTAAGAACTCTGTTGCTAAGTTCGAAGAGACTCGTTCGACGTTAGATAAACAGCGGTGGGGTCGACCAAGGACAACTCGTATTGAAGAAAACATCAACATTGTGGCACAGTCTGTTCGTCAAAATCGTACCCAGTCTACTCGTAAGCGTTCCAGTGCACTAAACGTACCCAGAACATCTTTACAGCGGATTTTAAGGAAAGATTTACGTATGCACGCTTACAAAATTCAGTTAGTGCAGGAATTAAAAGATAATGACGCTATTCGGAGACTAAACTTTGCGAATGAAATGTTGAATCGATTTTCTTTGCTCAATAATGTGTTGTTCTCGGACGAGGCTCACTTCCATTTAAACGGGCATGTAAATAAACAAAATTGCCGTTATTGGAGCCCCGAAAATCCAAAGCGTAAGCATCAGAAGCCCTTACACAGCCCTGAAGTTACAGTTTGGGCTGCTATGTCAGCGCATGGCATCGTAGGCCCTTATTTTTTGAGGACGACAGAGGTCGCGCATTAACTGTTACTTCGGAGCGGTATGTAGCAATGATAGAAGAGTTTTTGACACCAGCGTTGCAGAATTTTCCAGGCTATAATACGCAGACCTGGTTTCAACAGGACGGAGCAACTGCCCACACCTCCAACACTTCTATGCCCGTCGTCTGTCAACTTTTTCCCAGCAAAGTAATTTCTCGAAGAGGAGACATTTCCTGGCCACCACGTAGTCCAGATTTGACCCCAATGGACTTCTTTTTATGGGGCTACCTCAAGAGTAAAGTGTACGACACCACTCCGCGATCAGTTGATGTCCTGAAAGAAAATATCCGAAGAGAAATGGCAAGCATTACAGTGTTGACTTGCCGCGCAGTCATCGACAATTTTTAAGACGTCGTTTATATGAGTGCCGTGATCGTAATGGATTGCATTTAGACGATGTGATTTTTAAAACATAATTCCCATTCAATAAAGATGATAACAAAAATATAATAATTCTCATAATGTAACTAGTTTGGTTTATTCCTTTTTTCCAGCTCAAAGGACTTATGGGCCACCCTGTATAATAGTCAGTGTCACAAATCCTATTTTTGGAAATTCTTGAACAATCAGCTAAAAAATTTACTCTTGTCTTTCAACGGGTAGTTTTGGAGATACAGTAGTTTTTTCAATCGTAATAACCGGATCCAAAATACCAGTTTCACTGTTTCAAATATCTAATTCTGTAAAATAGATTCGTAATCAGCACTTTTTGACCACCTCGTAGCACCAAAACTGTATTACACCACAAATTATCTCTGGTATCAAGGCAGCATGGAAAATACCACCAAATACTGACACTGAGTCCTACAATCACGAGCACCATCTGCTGAGGTAACGGGGGGTGAAAAGGAAACGATGTGGGCTGGTCTTAGACGGTGGTCGGCGCTACTTTAAAAGAGGAAAGGATGACTGCGGGTGCCTACCGAGGTAAATGTTTCTAATAACAGAGTCGGATTCCGATTAGCGATCTGGCCTGTAAATCCTATTCCTATTCCTATTTTGGTACTCAGCTAGTGATCATTTAGTATTGTTCTATACTTGTTACTGTTCGTCGATATTGTGTTGTTGAATTGTTGTGTTGTTCTTGAGTGAATTATTTGCAGAACGACTTATCTACGCGACATATATGAAATAGGGCCACCAAGTTATCTGAATACGTCCTTTCTCAGTCCGTACATTGCGCCGCAACGCTTGGTTTGGCAGCACGAAACAGTAGACAAAATTCGTCCAAAATAACGATTTGTAGAGGTTTGCGCGCTTCGAAATTGACGCTTTATTTTTTGATATCTTTGGATGAAATTTTCATGGAGTGCTGAAAACAAAACCCCACAGGGTGCTATAGAGCCACTTTTTCATTTTTTTCACTAGGTTCTTTTTAAAAAAATCGCGAGTTGAACAGAAAAAGTGCGCGCTTCAACCCATCATAAAACTTGTGCAAAAACAAAATTTCAAAAAGTGCTCCTATAGCAACCCTGGGCATTTATCTTCTCAACATACTGTATGAATTTCATTCAAAATATTGAAAAATGGAGTGTCAGTTTTGAAGCAGCCGAACCCTTGTAAATAGCTTGAAACTCACTGCGTCGGAGTCGTCTTAAAGGCAGATCCTACATTGGTAATGACCACGGACACAACTATGCTAATGTGCAATTTCGATAAAAGCTATTTATCCGTCTGGGAACAGATTCCCACGAGTGATCACCCTGTACCACCTTACACGCGCCACATAGGCGCCATATAGGTCGATGGATACCCTAAACCGCATCCGCTTAGAAATGTGCACATCGTCGGCACATAATGCATAACCAGCAATGGTGTATCCTTATCAGCCGAAGTTGAGATATGATTATTATAAAACTAGTTAGACTGATACGTGACGGTATTTCCTCTCTGGGGACAGTTTCCATCGGAGGTCAACTCTTGTCATTCTTTCCTGCGAGAAGGACAGCTGATCTCTACAGTGTAACTAAAGTATGTACCTTTTTTTTATGTTTACAACACTTTGCAGCGCCAAGCGAGACAGCTCAGCCCCGAGCTGCCATCCCCCAAGTCACAATCACATTCATTGTTGAATCATCATTATAGAGACCATTGACAATGAAGCATTTACTACTTACCTGAATTTCTTTCCAAATGGGCACCTGTATCTCCTTCCACGCAGGAACCTGGTACTTCTTCCACTCCGGCTTCCAGATAAGCTTCTTGTCATGTTTCCACACCTTCACCCATTCAGTCTTCCAGACGAGCTTCTTACTCCAGTAGCCTTCCGGCTCATGGTGAGACCCTCTTTGTCCTTGACAGACTGGTGGACTGGGCTGGTGTACTACGGGACCAAGAGCCATCCTGAACAGGAAGACCTGGAAGTTGGGGAGGTAGAGGAGGGAAGAAAGGGCTCGTTTATTGTTATTTTGAGGCAACACAATGTAATAGTTTCTTCCAGTATCTGGAATACGATGAATAGCGAAATGTTCGTTATACAGGGAACACCACATTTGTCTGGACGACTTGAGTTCAGTGTGTACGAGAGAGAAGCGCCTGAAGTGCGAAGGTCATCATTGCAGACTTTACAACAGAAAATGTTCGCACAGGCTACTGCCAAACCCAAGGAGATCTGTTAGAACATTTGATTTAATATATTGTTGTGTTTTCAATTGTGTTTTAATTTATTTTAGAAAAACCTTGATTTACACCGATGATGATAAAATCAACACATCCGGAGCTACTGTGACGTTTTGCGATAGCGAGCGTAACAAATACCATTACGCAATACAAATTACCACGTGTACGCAGGTCCAAAAATCGCTGATCTGTGATCATGGAGGTGGAAACCTTGCCTTGAAATGTGCGAGATGCGCTGTTGCCAAGCGATCCGATGATGCATGTTGCGGAATTAGTGGCGATTCTGAGCTTCCATTCGACCTAAAGTGGAGCGCTATTAGGGTCGATCCGGAATGGATCCTAAACAGATTCGAGGACAATTCACAATTTAAGAATGTGTACGCTTCAAAATAAAACCACTATTTTCACATAAAAAAAGCTACGCATATTTTCAACACGTATCTTAATTCAAGGAACTACTTTAACATATTGGCAACGCGGCAGATTGCCGAATCAGTGTTGCTAGGCAACGCGGTGATGAGCTTCGCTATCCAGCCAGCTTCTATCTCCTTCTAATATATGTGTCTATATACTATTTCTCTCGTACACATTGAACTCAAGCCGTCAAACAAATTTGGTTCACAGTGTATGTTAGCATAAGAAGATTCGTTCAAATAAAAGTTCCATCGTCTCAGTCGTGTTGCTAAGGAGGATTGCACTAATGACCTTGAACAGTTTTCCTTTCAAACAAAATTGTTTAGTCTGAAGTATGACAGTAAGAAGGAAGGCAGTGACAGAGACTTGGTTGTCTGTTCGGCTTACCTTCCTTACGATTCAAGAGACCCTCCTCCGTCTAAGGAAATGGGGGACCTTGTCGCATTCTGTAGGGATTCTGGACTCGACCTTGTGATTGGATGCGACAGTAATGCCCATCACGTTGCGTGGGGCAGCTCGAACACCAACAGACGGGGCGAAGACCTGATGGAGTTTCTTGGGGCATCGAACCTTGAGGTTCTGAATGTCGGTAACATGCCCACTTTCAGCAATAGTGTAAGAGAAGAGTTATCGACGTAACACTGAGCACGCTTAACTTAGCTCAGGACATCAGGGACTGGAAAGTGTCTCTAACACCCTCTCTATCGGATCACAGGTATATACTGTTCAAGACTGATGGAGAGATTCCGGATAAATATGCTCGGAATCCCAGGCATACTAGATGGGGGTCCTTTAGGGCAGACATTGACAGTAAGCTTGGAGCGGTCCCATACAGGCTTGGCAGGGGCTCTGACATAGAAGCAGCTGTCGAGTCTCTGAGCAGGGACTTGACGGCCGCATATGAGGAAAACTGCCCGTTACGCAAAGTACAAGGTAAGGGCAAGGCAACCTTCTGGACCAAAGATTTAGAGGATAGAAAACGAGCGGTGCACAAACTTCTTAGCAGAGTTAAGCACAGGAGAGGTTCTCCTCTATGGGAAGAATACAAAAAGGCATTGCAGGAGTACAAAAAGGAGATTAGAAGGGCCTCCAGAGAATCCTGGAGGCACTTCTGTCAGTCCATAAATGACATTCCTGCTACTGCAAGAATACACAGAGTCCTATGCAAAGACATTAAGCAAGATTGGGGATCTCTGCATGATCCCTCGGGGGGGAACACTACTTCCGAGGAAGATACTCTGAGGCTTCTGATGATACGCACTTTCCCGGTTCCACAGTAGCGCGATCAATCACAGAGTGCTGCAGTTGCGCAAGCCCTCAAGGGAGGACTGGCGCACGGCAAGGGAGATTGTCACCTTCGAAAGGACGGTATGTGCAGTAGATTTCGTTTGCCCCATACAAAAGTCCAGGTCTGGACTGCGTATTTCCGGCCATGTTACAGCAGGGACGGATTTCGGTTGTTCCTTACCTGTTGAAGTGTTTCGAGCATGTGTGGCCACGGGCTTCACACCTAGAAGTTGGCGGCAGGCTAAAGTGGTATTCATTCCTAAACCGGGCAGAGATAGATATACTGGCCCGAAGGATTTTCGACCGATTACTCTTTCATCTTTTGTGCTTAAGACCCTGGAAAGGATAGTTGATAGATACCTAAGGGATGGCCCACTGGAAAGGTGTGTCATTCATGCAAATCAGTTTGCATACCAAGCTGGAAAATCGACTGATCTGGCCTTACACAATCTGGTCGGGAGGCTGGAGAAGACTCTAGATCAGCGAGAAGTGGCACTCGTGGCCTTCTTAGATATTGAAGGTGCATTTAATTGCACCACAACCGACTCTATCAGACAGGCCTTGGTTAGACACGGGGTTGGATCAATCCTAATAGATTGGGTCCTCTCTACTCTGGAGGGTCGGGTAACAACAGCTATGCTGAATAACGTAAGCTGCAGCGTGAACGTAGCTAGAGGCTGCCCTCAGGGTGGAGTTCTGTCACCCCTACTGTGGTGTATCGTGGTGAACGAACTGCTCGTTAGGCTCAACAGTATGGGTGTCTACGTGCAAGCCTATGCTGATGACGTAAGCATAGTGGTTAGGGGGCGTTTCTGTAGAACAGTCTCGGAAATTATGCAGGGCGCTCTGCGCTCCGTGGAATCGTGGTGTAGGGAAGTCGATCTTTCTGTTAATGCTGAAAAGACCGAGCTGATCCTATTCACTAGGAGAAGAAGGCTTGACGGACTGGTCATGCCTACCTTCTTTGGGACTAGATTAGTTTTGTCCCAGTCAGTGAAATATCTGGGAATTATCCTGGACTGCAAACTGAACTGGAGAGAGCATGTGGAACACAAGGTTAGCAAGGCTCGCAATTCGATGTGGGCTTGTAGACGTGTTGTCGGTGTAAGGTGGGGGCTTAAACCCAAAGTGGTATACTGGCTCTACACGACGATAGTACGTCCATCTCTCTTGTACGGCTCCCTGGTCTGGTGGCCTTGCATTAGAACTGAGTCAACTAAGGCCAAACTCAATAAAATTCAGCGTTTGGCCTGTATTAGCATTACAAGCGCAGTGCGAACAACGCCATTGAGTGCAATGGAAGCTCTGTTGGATCTCCCACCGTTGGATCTGGTGATCCGCGGTGAAGCGAGAGTAGTCGCTCATCGACTGTGGAGTCAGGGCAGCTGGGCTTTCTTGAATCCGGTCAAGGGGCATACTGCCATATTAGTCGAATTAGAAAGGGAGGACCCCGTCCTTCTAAGCAGGGGTGATCGTATTACCCCTAAATATCGCTTCAACCGCAAGTTCATTGTGGAGTACCCAACGAGGGAGGAGTGGGACGCCGGTAGCCGAGGACTCTCCGAAGTGAGCGGGCAGGTCTGGTACACGGACGGCTCGGTCACCGAAGAGGGCTCAGGTGCTGGGGTCTCTGGACCTAGAACTAGGCTATCTCTGCCTCTCGGTGAGTACACCACCATTTTCCAGGCGGAAATCTTTGCGATTCTGGCTTGTGTATCTCACATTCTGGAGGAGGGTGGGCCTAGGAGAAGAATAACAATCTTATCCGACAGCCAGGCTGCAATGAAAGCACTAAGTGCATGTAAGATTACTTCGAGTCTTGTATTGCAATGCAGGGAGGCTCTGGATTGCCTCGCAGCGAGGCATCCGGTATCGTTAATATGGGTACCGGGGCACGCTGGGATAAGGGGCAATGAGACGGCGGACACTCTGGCGAAAACAGGATCAGCCAGCAAGCTCGTTGGTCCTGAGCCAGCTCTAGGAGTAACCGCGCATAAAGCTAGGAGGAAAATGGAGACGTGGGTTGCAAGACAACACTCTCAGAAATGGAGAAGTATCTCTAGACATCTCCGCCAGGCACGAGAGCTCATTGAAGGGCCCAGTGCTAAGGATGGACGCTTCTGCCTATCTCTGGGTAGAGCCAACCTAAGGTTGCTGGTGGGACTGTTGTCTGGCCATAACACGTTAAGGCGGCACCTGCACGTGATGGGGGTGGCTGAGGATCCCTTGTGCGAACGCTGCGGAGTAGAGGAAGAGACCTCGGCGCACGTTTTGTGTCGCTGTGAAGCTCTGAGCTACTATAGGCAGACTATACTGGGGTCCATTACTTTGGACCCTCAGGACGTAAAGGAGCTTGGACTCAAGGCGATTCTCAACTTCGCTAAAAGGGCGAGGCTTGTGATTTAAGTATTGTAGAGGTGCATAAGGGCCCGCTTAAGCGGCCTATGCACTGGCTCCTTATGGTGGCCGGGATGCCTCTAAAATTCAAGATTCATTCATTCATTCATTCATGACAGTAACCTTCCAAGGAAAAATCACTCTCCAACCTCCTTGCAATTCTGTATTCTCGGAATAACGGAAAAGAAAATCTTGTGCCTGGGATACTGTTGACACATGAGGATGGTGGTCTGTGCACATGCAGTGCTTTTCAAAAAGTCGTACCACTTATTTTTTGAACAGGTCAAGTTAGCTAGCTGAAATAAGAGGTAAAGAAATTGATACGTCAATAGCTATATTTTAATGTAAAAGTGACAGTTGCAATTTTTAAGATGGCGACTGGGCGCGGCTATATTTTAAAAATCCAAGATGGCACCCAGCTTCCATCTTGGCATCCATTTTAATATCCTCATCTTCAACTTGTTAGCTTGACCAATGGGGAGGCAGCATTAAAAGAAACACTGTAGATAAGATGGACATTTCGCGATACATAGAATTCCAGACGATATTCTGTTAGGTAATTTTTCATTCTGGAACATTATACAGTCAGTAAACTGCAACTGTAACTTCTGCAATGTTCCATGCTTCATCTTATCCTTGAAGCTGAGAAAACCTCCAGACCGCAGAAACAAAAAAAGGCCATTAGGAGAACAAGGACTTCCGTTATGAAGTATTTTTCGAAATTCAAGGCAATCGAAACCTATTTTACTGAAGTACGTTCAAATCTAATAAAACTCCTTAGCAATTTGTAAAGAATGTTGCAGAAGTTACATTAAGCAAGAAGTACA